AAAAAAAAAAAAAAAAAAAACAGAAAAAGAAGAAGATATAATTCAAGATTTAGAATCAGTAAATTTATAACGAGCGTTATCTTATTAAAATAGTTTTTCTAAAAAGAATTATTTTTAAGAGGCACTAAGATCAGACTTTCGACTTTTTAAAAAAAAAGAATTACGAGTAAGCTTGAACTCCAGCTAATAAAAGCAAGATTTTTCTTTTCAAATCAAAGTTTGATCTAGTTAGTATATCCTTAAGGAAAGCGAAAAATAAGCAATATCTACCTTATGTAAAAAGCAAGAGAACATCAAGCCGAAAGGAACAAGGTCTTATAGTACAATCATTATGTCGTCTTTGATTTTCAATTGAATACTACTTTTTAATTGACACAACCACAAGATGTTTAACTACACATAAATCTATAATCGAAAGTACTGAATTCAACTGAACATATATACAAAACCCGTCCTAAATCCACAAAGACATAGTAAATTGTTACCTGTTTGAACTCTTGTTTCAATTCTTGCCTCACACGTTCCATTAAGAATCTTTCATTTTCAGTAGGTACAAGAGGACCAAAACCATTACTATCTTGTCCATCTAAAATTCCATTATAATGACAATATGTCTCATTTTCTACTTGATTATCTTCATCATCATCTGACATGGTTGCACCTGTACCTTCTCCTGATGCTACCCCTACAATTATCACGGGTCGAGAATTTAAACTAGATGAGTTCAATCTGTAAGTATTAGTAGTCTTGAACTCGATGTAATTATGAAATTACGAGTTCATAATTTGATACATCACCAATTATATATGTTTCAGTACTAAATAAGTTGGGGTCGGCTATATGGATCATTACTGATCATGAATATGGGGCGGATCCATAGGAGCCCAAAATCTTTTTGTCTAGATTTTGTATATGTATTAAGAAATATACAAAAATGTTTAGAAATATTTGACTATGAATACATAAACCTCATATTCTTCGAAACTATAGGATTTAAATGTATTAGTATGTCTATCGATATTTTGTAGTGAAAATACTAAATTCAGTTGAACCGATAAAAGATGATTATATTAATTACCTGTTAAATTTTGTAGAGATTGATCAAGATCCCAACAAGCCATGACAGCTTCCATTGCATGGACACGAACATGCTGTTGCAGTTGTTCTTTAAAAGAAGAGAGCAATAGAACATAATGTGCCTACATCATAATTATTAACAAAAAGAGTTTTAAGTTATATACATCGATCGAAATGACAAAAAATCTTATAATGAACCCTCTTATTCCTTTGTTGAGGTTTGAAACAACCACAAAAATATCGAAACTTCAATATAGTGACGTATGTTGAAGGTCAGTCAGTTGAACATTATTCGAAAAATAGTACTTTTAGTACATACAAATATATATATCAAGAGCTTAAGTTATAGCCATTAAACCCTTTCTTGAAAATCGAGAAAATACTCAAAGTTAATTTCAAATACTAGATAGGATTCACCATCCGCTAGACATAAGACATAACTTAATAATAGTATAAATAATGGACATGATCTATTTATGACTTCTTTCATGAAAGGACTTTTCACACGGGGACACTTGTTTGATCCTTGCCGACAAAAACAAGCTAGGAAGTCTCTTTCGCAATTTTTACACCAAAATCATCCTAAATTGTGAGATTTAATCTTAAAAACAAGACAGATTATCTATTACAACAATCAAAATAATCTGATAGTTTAAAATACCTTATAAAACAACCGATGTATAATTAACCCTTAAAATCTATACTATATATTAAATCTTAAACATCATAAAAAAGTTCATGAATTTGTCATAAATCAAGTTCTTAAAAATAGTAAAATTACCATAAATTGATCAAGTTCCTTATCATCAAGAGACCGTTGACTTTGACCAACAACATAATACTTTGCCACCAAATTTTGTGACTCCGTCAACTGCTCGTCGATCCTCGGTAACTGGTCCACCGGAGTCGCGATTCTCAGGCAAGCCACGTGTGCAGAAAGAAGCTGTTCCGATAAATGATGGTTCAAAATATCCGCTTTATATTTCTCACTCTGATCCCAAACGTTACTATTATTATTGTTGTTGTTGTTGTGCTCGTTGTTATTGACATCGTCCCTATATTGTTGACTTAGCTTTACGTTGAAATTCATCGACTGATCCGAAACGTCGTCATCGACGTTTTGTTGTTGGTGTTGTTGTAGAGCTAATTCTTGAGAAAAATGATCATGAAACTCCATGATTGTTGTTATTATTGGAGCTTTTGTTCACAAGTTATATTGTGCGGTCATTTCGTAGAATAGAGAAAGAAAATGAGATGATAAAGAAACAACTTTTAATTTAATAGTATAGTCGTGTATATATATTAAAAAAATAAAATGGTCGTGTATACATATTTAAAAAAAATGGAGTTCAAGTTAAGAAATTTCTTACACCAATGATATGAAGAGGTCTAGTAGCTTATATAAATTTGTGTAAAAAAAAAATTCCCTCTTACACAATTATATAACTAGGTAATTTACCCAATGAATATTTACAAGTAAGTTTCCTAAGCAGGACCAACAGTGTGGCAGATGAAATTGTTCCTCCTTTAATTAGAGGTCTTAAATTTGAGCTGCATATAAAAAAATTCTTAGTAGAAAATATTTTTCCCTTAAAGTCCCAAAGCGACGCAACTCGGTCTAATGCGGATGTCCAATCGACAAAGGCATGACATAGTACTAAATTGAAAAAGAACGGCTATTTTTTTTTTATAAGTTCGTTTCAAAAGAATGATACTATTTCTTTACTATTAATTAATTCGTCCATTTAGAAAATAACGACATTTTTTAATTTGAATACAATTTAGCTTGAACTGCTCCGATGTTTTACCTTAATGACAAGCTTTTATAGCCACACAAATACGATAATTATAAAAATCCGATTATAAATAGGAAATGCAATCAAATTTCACCAAGCATTGATAATTGATCAAATCTTGATCTCTTAGCTACCAGCTGGTGTTTAAAATATTCATTGATGAATAAAATAATTAACTAATTGAGCTAAAGTCTCATTTGGCAACTCTTCTCAACTAACATTATCTACCTAATTAATAAACAATCAAGAATATGTGGATTTTCCGGTTAATTAAAGTTCCAAAATCCAAAAATATCAGTGAAAAATAAATAAATAATTGATCTCTAGGTTTTGTATATACTATTTTTGTTAATGGTGTAGATATAGAATAGCTTTTAATACTCCATTCGTCCTAACTTAACTTATGTGGCACAATTGGAATATCGAGAGTTAATCACATTTTTTTTCTTAGACTGAATTTTTTTATGTCTTTCAAAAACTTTTACGTGGTTTTCATATATATAAATTTTATTTTAAAAAATTTAAACTTCTAGGTTCGATTTTACTGTCAGAGTTTATGAATCTTGATATAAAAATTGTGCCTTATAAATTGATACGGAGGAAGTAATGCTTTTTTTTAAAAATATTTCTGTTTGTTACAACTTACAAACCAATACCTTTTCTTTTCTTATTTTGATTTGATGCTATTTCATTTAATTAGTGAAAATGAATGTCGTAGGCAACTTTGACAGATCATGTTGATAATAATAATGACAAACATATAATTTTAAAGATTAATTAAGTTAATGAGGATTAGGACCACAAAGTCATTAGTTAATCAGAAATGGGAGTGACAGCTTGTCTTATTGTTCTTTAGAGAGTTAAACGTTTCTAATTGTGATTTGTTGAAGCATTATAATGCTTAATTATTCTAATCTATGAATAGTGATGAATTTATTTTATCTAGTTGAAATGTTTAATTAGTAGCAGCATCTCAAATATTAGGGCTAAATACGCATATAATCGATTTTAGGGGTCCCACTTAAGTCATAGCTGTAAAGTATAATTCCTTTAAGAAAAATTTAGCCACTTTAAAATTATTGTTTATGCAAGCAAACTTAAAAGACAAAACATGTTTGAAATTGAAATTGAAATATTTGTGCTTTTGAAGTTCATGCATTTATAAGTAATACCACATTTGATAACTGATTAGGAGGTAATAAACTTATTCATGTATAAAAGTAATATAGCGTTTGATTTTCAGTTTTAAAACTCGCATGAGGAAATCTATGTGTTATTATATGCAACATAGAAGGCTGAAGGTGGAACTAATAGATTCCCTCGTAACTATCACTACAAGAAAAACAGTCTCTAAGGAAGGGAAATCTAGTCCCTGAAAGTGCAAATCTGGTCCCAAATGCGCAATAGAGACCAGAAAAATCTGGTCGTCACCCGTCCTAGAAATTGCCGTCGCCATTGGTCTATAAGGACGAGTTGAAAAAACTAGTCCCTGAATGGTTTTTGAGACGAGAAAAATTTCTGGTCGTGAAATCCTTTTAGAGACTAGATATCTAGTCTCAAATAGGCCATTTATATGTATGTATTAAGGTCGTTATACCTCTTTTGCGACCTTCCGCAACCTGGTCCTAATAAATCATTAGAGACGAGTGTGACCTCGTCCTCAAATAGCATTAGAGATCATTAACTATCTTCTCTTAGAATAGCTCTAGCGACCATAAAAAACTGGCCCTAGAAGTTTTAAAGACGAACAATAACCTAGTCCTAAAATAGCTTTGAAGAAGAACATCATTTCTAGTCCTAGATTATTCATTATAGACGAGCAACAATTTTGTTCGTAGATTGACCTTTAAAGACAATCAATAATATTGTTCTCTGATTGACCACCACTGATCATACAAATATTGATATCACAAGAATCTATACTCATCAGCAAATATCAAATTAATTACCACTAAAAATCTGGATAAAAAAAGAAGGATGATATAGAGAGGAGGCAGGACGATAGAAATAAAGACTACGATTGATTACCATAAATTTGTTAACATCCCATGGTGTTAGTTTAAATATTTGCTTAATTAACAAAACGTAGATAACATTCAAGGTTTTGCATAACATTCACAGAAAACTAATATTAATGAGTTAGTGTATCTTCAAAACTGGTATCTTCAGTGAAGGATGAACAAAAGTTGGGCAGAAAACGTAATGCTAAGTCTTTGTCAAGTGATATCCCGAAACATCTAAAAAAGCTGCAAGAAATAACAAAAAACTATTAGAAAAACTTCCAAATACATTAATCAAGAATCCAACATTTACTTTGACGAACAATAACTACATAACATTAAGTAAAACAACATTGCAACAATGATAAAATAGAAAATGGGCACGTTCTTGATGAACAACTGGGCAGAAAATGGTAAAGCAGAGATGTTGACAGCAGTATATGCAGAAATTTTTAAAACAAAGTTTGTGTCGTTATGCAGCTGTGCAAAAAATAAAAAACAGAGCCTAACCTAATTACGAAAGTTCTGTAGTTATGTTCTTAATGTTTCACCCACAATAATTTTTCATATTCAAATTCCAATCCACAAAGGATAGGTATCAGATCCTACAAGTCGGGCCTTACACATTGTAGGACAATCCTATGGTGCTCAAACTATGGGAGGTCGATTTTTCTTTCTAGTATGATGTGTTGAGTATCATTCCTCTATGTGTTAAGTTTCCTGAACTCCCAATTGAATAGTGGTCTGCTGAAGCACTTAGTGAGTGCTGATACAAATATATATGATGCATTTATAATTGAAGTCGATTAAGAAGTTGGTAAGGCCTCATAATAAAACAATAAAACAGAGGAAGCTGGCAGAAAACAATGCGATTGCATTGATCTTGAAAACGCAAGTTGTCGTCCAATTAAATCACTTTGTATTTGTTTCAATTCCAAGTTGACTTTTATACCTTTTCTCCCATTTTCTAACCATTATTATTACATATTCAAGAGCCAGCTCTAGGGGTTGTCCTGTCTATAAGAGCACAAATGTGTGGGTCAGAAACTAATCACAGGTTTGAACCTTGCAGCAGATAAGAACGAAAGGTAGAGGAACAAACTCATTATCATTTATCCACCGAATTTTGAACTGTAATTCGCTAGCTTGAGGATTTCTAGATATAAAAGAACCCATTGGGATAGGTGGAACGGGGAACATAAGATGAAACTGTTAGAATATCACCAGTAAATGTACTACCAAAGACTGTTCCAGACTTGTCCTTTCTGATATTAGCATGTGGTGAATGGAGCAAAAGAATTATTCTAAATTTTAGAACATGTGGCTGGAAGTTGAAAAATTTATTGATGTAATTGACAAATGCTGGAATCTTCCAAATTAAATAACAGACGAAACATTAGAATAGCTAAGAAGTTGAGACTTCAAAAGAATGATAATTAAGGAACAGAATGTCAAGGTATTTGAGATATTGGAAGAAAAGAAACTACAATCCTCATAAAATGATGAATCCACATGAGATGCAATCACATTTTTTATGCAGGACACGCAAGGAAGCACTAAGTGAAAATAGCTCACATTCTTTATGCAGATGATACAGTTGTTGCAGCAGTGCAGAAAACACTAAAACAGGGAAGCTGGCAGCAATGTTGCAGCAATGCAGAATTTTTTTTAAAAAAGTTTGTGTCGTTATACAGCTGTACAGAAAATACAAAACAGATCCCAGCATAAAGTAAAATAGAAAAATACAAATTTCATTAGTCTAAAGAAGACACATATCGCTAAAATTATTGAACTATAGACTACACCTCAAGCTGTCTTGAGGACTATAGTACATCAAGAATCATAGCCTTTTGAAGGTGATGAGAAAAAATCGTTACATAAAGTAAGATCAACGCATGCACTTAAAGGATAATAACATTAAACAAGAAGGTGTTTCGAGGGGTCAGTATGAATACAGACACAAAAATTACACAGATTAAACATGATTTTGTAATAAGATTAGATGTAGTGAGACAGTCAAAAAAGGCTCATAGATGTGGTTGTTTGAGACAAAAGTTCGTTGTGTAATTAGTGACTTGTTGGAGGCTTAACTCTTATGATACTCTTTCTAGAAGATGGTCATGAGATTAGGTGCTCTTTAGGTGTATTGTTTTTGTGTTGTTAATGGTAATATTTACATTTGTTTTAAAAGAAAATTGGATTCTTAGCTAGAGATGTATTCGAGATGGCAATTTCTTACTTGAGATATTTGGCTTCTAAACTGAAAGAAAAAAAAATGATGATCTCAAAGATCCAGATTTTTGCTTTAGACCCTTTCCTATAGCAGTTGGACGCACTAAACGTAATATAACAGTCTATCAAAAGAATTAAAAACATAACAGATTTGTAAAATATACATGTTTGAATAACTCTTACTTGTTTCAACTTCTTGGGTGCATTTCTCAACCACAAAGTTCTTATAATTGTTTGCATTCCTTGACTAG